GGCGTGGCGTGGCGGGGCGTGGCGGGGCGGGACGGGGCGGGACGGGACGGGACGGGGCGCGGCCGGCGCCCTCACACTCCCGTCGCGCGGGAAGCAGCAGCCAAGAGACTTTGGGTGCGTTATTGACCGGGCCGCGCGGGGCCAGCTGGCCAAGCCATAACGCCCCGCGGCTCTGCGCTGCTGCTGCAGGAGGAGGCCGTTATCTCGGTGGAAACGAAGCAGCCGCCGCCGCCGCGCTGCCAGTCGAGGCCCACTTCGCGTAACTCACCAACGACTTGAGCAGCGCCGCACCACGCCGCAGTAGTAAAGCATCCGCGCTCTAATTAAAGCATTATTATTAATTGGGGCTATGCGGATCGGCCAATGAGCGGCCAGTGCGGCTGCCTGCCCCGGCTGTCCGCCTGGGTTCAATCCGGCGCCTGCGGGGCTCGCTCAGGGGCGCACCGAGAAATACACACATCCTCTCCTCCCTCCCTCCGCCGCCCCACCCAGCACCCCGGACCGGTTTATTCCATGATCGAGCCGGACGGCCTGCCCATTTCTTTACATCGGGACAACCGTATAGGAATCCCTTCACGACGACCAAAGCGTTTTTCGAAATCAGTGCCCTGTTCTCTCATTCTCTCTCTGCCTAACTCGTCGTCTTTGTTTCTCTCTCCGTTCTTTCGCTCTTGCCTCCGCCTCTGTCTCGCTCTCTGCTCTGCTCAAATATGAAACGCACCTTGCTGCATCCTGGCGCACATTTACATACGCGCTGTCTGCAACAGACCCCTCCGTGTGTGTGTGAGCGCGCGCGCGTCTGTGTGCGTTCGATGCGTATTACTTGTCGTTTTTTACTCTCGCGGTATGGATATTGTGTTTCCCGGCAGTCCATGGCATTGGACGCCACGGCATCGCCCGCTGTTCGTGGCAATGTGGATGAGTCTCAGGACCCCTCGGCTGTCCTGCTCATGGCGCTTACAAGGGGGCTGCTGCGGGGCTGCTGCGCACCAGGATCTGCCCCCCCTCCCCCTCCTGGAGGACGACAACGAGTCCGTCTCGCTCTTGCTCTAGTACAATCAACTGGCACCGTTCCATTCGGTGCCCAACATGTCACCGAATGGCTCTGGCGTGGCGAGCGAGCCGCCCGTCCGAGCAGGACAGAGAGAAACAGAAACAGGGAGGGAGAGAGGAGGCGAGAAAGGGGGAAGAGAAAGAGAGAGGGTGGGGAGAGGGAGAGAGAGAGAACGCAACCAGCCAAGCGACTAGTCTGGCTCCGGTGCGCAGGACGACCAACAGTGTCGAAGAGACCAGAGCCATGTAAGGGGTGCCCTACAACCAATACCCTGTCAGAAGAGCACGCGCCCCGCCGATATTGTGTTTCTGGCTCCAAACGCGGAATTTCTTATTGCATCGCGTCGGTCGATTCCCACACACAGACAGGGTCGGGCGACGTCGCGACGCGCGCGGGTTTAAAGGGGAGCACGAGAGAAAGAGAGAGAGAGGGGGGCGCTGGGGAGAGTGAGAGGACGCCCATTGCCAGATTCCTCTTGGGGCACAGCACAGCAGGCGGGGAGCCTACCCTAGGACGAGAAGTACCCGTTCCCGCTGGGAGTTCGCGTCGCGCAGCGAGCATAGCGAGCGGCGGGGGAGATAACCACCCGACTGCTTTCCAGATTTCCAGCAGGGCGGCGCGGCGCCGGGGGGATAGCCTGGCTGCTGCTGGACTTAATGGGGGCAATCCCATGCAAATATGGCGGCACAGCGGCGCCCGCCCGACACCCCGTCGCCTTATCGCAGTGGCGCTGGGGAGGGACGCGCCGCCAGCGAGAGTCGAACCCGCGAGCCGACCATGGGGGACCATAGAACGACCATGGGGCGGCCAGAGGGCGACCATGGGGGAACCATAGAACGACCATGGGGCGGCCAGAGGGCGACCATGGGGGAACCATAGAACGGCCGGGGGGCGACCACAGGGCCGAGCGGCGCGCATCTGATATCGATGCGGACGCACCGCCATGTCACAACGCACACAATGGGCGATCCAAGGGCTTAGCCAAGTGCGTCCGGCGTAGGACCAAACGGCCCGAGAGCAGGGAGAGGGAAAGAGCGAGCGAGAGGGAGAGAGGGAGAGAGAGAGAGAGAGAGAGAGAGGTAAAGAAAGAGAGGGCCCCGCGGCTCCACCTAGCCATGGGGATCGCCCGGCAAAACATCGCCAATGAAGCTGAATGGGGATCGCATAATAACGGCGGCATCGCGTCGCTGCGTTCGACAAGCTTCTCGGAATGTGTTGCCTGTTTGATTGCCTCCCCCTCCCCCCTCTCATTGGCTGGCAATGTCTCTCCGGGCCGGCGGGCACTTGCTACAACAGATCCAGAGCAGCACAAGCAGCAGCAAACAACAACAACAACAACAACATTGTAAGACTCGAACAAGTCGGAGCAGTGCCGAGCAAGCCTCCCGAATATGTATAACGAAACCAGAAAAATGAAATAAATAAATAACATGCCGCCTGGCTGTGTGTGTGAGCGCGCGTGTGTGTGTGTGTACACTTGGCGTCTAAACGCCCGCCTCCCCCCGCGCCAGGCAGCAAGGCAAGGCCCCTCTCACTAAATATGAGGGGCATCTAAAACTAACACGAAAACACTCGCGGGGAGGCCGAGCGAGGCCGAGCAGGCTGAGCGGAGCCCGGTTTGAATAACGTCTGGTGCTCGAGTATTGTTTACAGGAAAAGAGGGGGGGGGGGGTGGCATTCCACTACGCAAAGGGCGCAACTCTCCGAACTCTTTCCGCCCCCCGAGCTGAAGCAGACTGCCGCGCTGAAGCGCCCCTCATAAATAAAACCAGGCCAGGCGCGGCATACGCTATCAATATGCGACACAATTATTTTTTCCGCGGGAGGTATTGGGATGAGGGGGAGGGGGACACCGGAGTGGCTGCCTGATCCCTTATTGGTCATTAATCGACCCACTCCCCCCAGCAGCAGCGGCGGCGCAAGAGGAGTGCTTTTAAATGCAAAATCCCATCCGGAGCGCGCAGCGCTGGGGCCCCGGGGAAGGATGGCGGGGAATAACAAATGCAGCGCGCTGTCCATAGCGGCGGCAGCAGCCGCTCCAGGCGTTAGCTCCAGAGCCAGGCCCCAGCCAGCTGACCGCCTGGCCATTGTCACGGTCACGTCGGGGGATGAGGTTAGTTCCGATCGGCCTAACTTGATTACCTCCCCCGCCCCGCCACGCCCCCCAAGGGACGCATCAACACACAAGCGGTGCAGCAGGCAGCCGGGTGGGGTGACCCCGAGGGGTGACGGCGCGCGAGTGACTCACCCGCGCGGGGTCCCGCGGGGGTGGGCGCCAGCGTGTGGCGAAAACAGAGTGCAAAAATCACGCAAGAGGGATGATGATACTCACACAGAGGCTCTTCTCGTTGCACATGGCGCCCCAGACGGGGAAGTTGGACTGCAGGAGTTGACAGTTCTCCCAACACTGCAAACAAAAAGGAAAAGAGGACCGTCAGCCAAGCAAACACGGAGGGAAAAACATATTTCAATATCATCAAGTGCAAGGGGGAAGTTGGAGTTCTGAAAACTAAAAGAAAAGGAAATAAAAACGACACGAATAAACGCAAGCAGTGGACCGGGGGGAGTGGGAGGGGGCGAAACTCCGACTCCGACGCAAAGTGACGTTTTTAAAGCGACGACGAGTTTGTTCTGCGCGACACACACACACACACACAGTGGCGCACACACAGACACGCACTCACACATACATTCCCGTTTGTTTTATGGGTGGCGTTCATTCCGAACGTGCTGATACTGTGTGCGTTATACGAGAGCCCCTATACGGCCCCTCAGGGTATGAGGAATTTATGATTTCTCTTTTTAATTTTTCCCCCTTTCCTCCCTCCGCCCGCCACCCTCTACCGCCGCGGCCGCCACCGCCGCTGCAGAGCGCCGCAGCTTGTTTGCCGAGAATCAATTTGAACGAGGTCCTCCCCCCCCCCCTCCGCATCCCGCCCCCGGGGCTGCGGGGGCCCCCGGGCCGAGCCCCGGCGGGGAGTCCACGCCGCCGGCCCCGCAGCAGGCCGAGGGGGTCACAGCCCCGCATCATCCATTTCTGCTGCGCCCGCCTGTCACCTGCCGGACTGAACCCCGGGCTCCGACTCCCTGGCGGGGAGCTCATCGACGAGGTCCTCGTCCTCTCGTCGGCCGCCCCGGAAGGGTTCCCCGGCCGGACGTGGGCGAGGTCAGCGGCGCGGCGCCGCCGGCCCGGCGGGGACGTGCTGCCCGCGCGAGGACGAGATTTATGCCGTGCGGCCGCCCTGCCGCGCCCTGCCCCGCCGCGCCCCGCCCGGGGGTGTTGTGTGCAGTTTGGGGCTCTAATTGGGCGGCCCGCTCGGGCCCCGCCGCGCCAGGCCCATGGCCGGGCCGCCCGACCGGGCCCCCGCATGGGAGGTAATGCCCTCCCGGTGCAAGCGACGAGGCGAGGCGAGGCGCCCCCAGAGCCTGCACAGAGCGGTACGGGACCCAAAATGTATATAAATTTATTTCAATCCCGTGGGAAGTGCGAATGAGCCGAGGAGGCAACAAGCCAGATCCAGACCAGATCCGGACCAGTCCCGCGCGGTGCAGCGCGACGTTGTCCAACACCCGCACGCGCGCGACGCGTGGCGGGGCGGGGCGGGGCGGGCCTCCTTAGCGGCGTCTGGCGCCCGCCACGCGATATTAGTTGCGCTGGCAGCGGACCAGCAGACGGAGAAGGTCGCGACAACAGGACGGACCACACCACCGCGTAGTGTTTCTTAATAACAGCAATAATAATAATGTAATCATTCGCCGAGCTGAGCTGCTCATCCTCCCCGTCGAGCTTCGTGGCGATATATTGCAGCGGGATCTTGCGAGCGTGGATATTGTTATTGAACTGCTACTCTGTCGCGCGGACAGGACACTCGGGAGGGGATCGCAACGGGCGAGGGAAGGCCGAAAATGAGCAAAGGAGGGGAGGGGGGAAGCCAACGGCACGAGGAATCCCACTGCCATGCCACGGTCATTTCCTGTCCGTCAGCGAAGGAGCTGCTGAGCGGGGAGGGGCCGAGCGAGCGAAGAGAATTCCCCCAAAACATGCAAAGGGAGAGAGGCGAGCGAGATGGCTGGTGAGTGGGTGGTTGGGCAGGTGGGGGAGTACGCGCCGGCCGGTATGGTGTACCAGGCCACAACGCGCCGCTCTCAGCTGGTCGGTCAACATCCATAACGTGTCCATGCGCCCGCCCCCTCCCCCCTCCGAGTGGACAGTCTCCACACATAACACATTCAGTCCATATCGTGGCTGTCGGACCCAACTATTTGGAATGCGTGGACACGCCGCCGGCGCGGGGACGCCACGCTCCGCCGCACCGCAGGGACGCCGCAGAGAGGGCCGCGCGGGGCGCTACGCCGTGCTGTACGGTACGCTGCCGGGACTGACCGACGCGGCGAGGCGAGGCGTGGCGTCGCGGGTCGGCGCTCGCGGCGATTAGTTTAGGCCCCTCCGGACGCTCCCCATACGTCTCCGAGGCCCCGCCGCCGTCCTCATATGCATGGGGGACCTGCCGTCGTCTGTCGGCTCGCCTTCAAAGCACCGCGCGGTGCCGTGCCACGCCACGCCCCGCCACGCCGCACAGAGCCGCGACCGCCTCAAAGAGATCTCCGACCGCGCCGGCTGGCTCAACGACGGGCTTGCTGCGCCGCTGCGCCCCCTGGGAGTATCGCCTCGGGGTGTCAATCCGAGAGGGCGATCATCGCGAAGGTCCGCCTCCCTCCTCCCCTCCGCCGAGCAGGAATGTTGTGCGCCCGCTATTACTGAGCCCCGAAACGTTATTGATAGCAATTCGGGCATAGCAGAGCGGCGCAGGGAGGCCTAGACCGGGCCGGGCGGGGACGGGCCGGAGGAGGAACGTTAATCGCTCATGATTGGGGTCAAACGCTTCATCACGCATTTGGGAGGCTGCTTTAACGTCTGTTTAGTTGAGCCTGGTCGAGTCAAGGAGGATGATGTGATGGCAAAAGGCGCAAGGCGAGAGAGAAGAGCAGGGCACGAAGGCACTCACACCCGAGCGAGCAGCGAGCAGGTGGACGGGAGGAGTGGGGGCGAAAAACTTAACAAACGCGCTCAGTCTCCGAGGCAATGTTTCAAGTGGCCGAAACAGAGCTGTGTACAAACAACCCTGTCTATAACGTGAGTGTGTGTATGTGTGTGTCTGTGCGCGCGTCTGTGTGTGTGTACGAGGTCGTGAAGCCAAGCCTGCCCAGAAATACACACAAGCCCACATAAAGATTAATATTATATACATCTGTCTCACTCTCTCCCACCCGCTGGGCCGTTTTGTACCCTTCCCCCCGTCCTGCTGGCCGGCCGGTCGGCCCGTCCGTCCGGGGCGCCCATGCCCGCCCGGCTCACCCGCCAGGCCTGTGACCCAATACATAAATACGTCATAAATACCCCTCCTCGGCCCCGCGACCGTTTAGGAGGAGCAGTTCAAAACATTTGCATAGCGAGAGAGAAAGAGAGAGAGAGGGAGAAACGGCCATGAGCGCTCTCGGGACGCCGGCACTGGAAAAGCGAGTGGTGTTTGTAGAGGACGATGGGAACAGAGTCCACCCACCGACCGGCCGACCCCCCCTGCTCTCCCAACCTGTACTACAGGAGTTGTATAGTGGGGCGTTTGGAAAATGGTCGCTCGGAAACGAAACGAAACTCATACCCGACTCGGGCAAGTTAACAGGTACCGATTGATTGTGCTGACCCGTGTGAGAGCGCACAGCGGGCGGGGCGTACACCGTACGTTGGGCTGTAGGTACTTTTAATCGCTGTCGTATCACCCCTTCCCCTCCCGCTCCCTCACCGGGATCCTCTGCCTTTCCCACGCCCCCCCCCCCTCCACAGTCACTGCTACAGGCGACCTCCTCCCGCCCATTACCAAAGTGTGTTTACTATTCATTACACGGGCAAATATTTCCCTCTCCACTCGCTTGCCCTGGGGCGGGGCGGGGCGCGGCGGGCCAGGTTAGTCGCGAGGCGGCACCGCGCCACCACGCAGAGGACCCGCCACGCCCCGCCCCGCCAAAACGACGCGGAGCACGGCAAATCGTCGGAAGTCACTCTGAAAATTACAACTGCTTCTGCTCGGAGAGGGAGGAGGGAAAGGGCGCGCAAACAGAGCGGGCAGGTCGAGCAAACTCCTCACAAACTCCTCACCGCCGTCATCAAGTAGTGCGGGCGCCCGGCGCGCGATCAGCTGGGCCGGGCCGAGCGCGGCGGCGGGGGGTAAGGCCCAGTAATAAGGAAACACAATGGCTTGAAATAAATCGGGCAACGCGAGGTGAGTGAGAGGGGGAAAGGGGCGGATGAGGAAGGAAGGATGAGAGAAGAGGTGGAGCAGAGGGGGCGAGATGAAATACGGACGCACTTCCTAAAGCAACTAAGACGAGGATTTATCGGCGGTATTCCATCTCTCTTCTCCCCCGCCCCGCGCCCCTGTCCCAGCGACGTGCCCGCTCTCATTGACTCTTTATCACCACGCCGCGCTTCCCCTCTCTCCAAGCCTGCTGCTGCTGCTGTTTCTGGCTGTCAGGTCGTATCACCCCCCGGCATGGCCAGGCCGGCCAGACCAGGCCATAGCCGGGGGCTTTGAGTAATTCTGCCCGGCAACACGTCATGCGCCACCGTCGCTGCGGCTGCTGTTTGAACAAACAAACTTTTCCCGCGCTACCAGCATCCCCCCCAACTCAACCCGCTGCGCGCGTCGCGAAATTAAAATGTGCGCGGGCACACGCACACGCACACAACTCACCCGCCCCAAATTCCTTTGCCCTCGTCCGAACAAAAACAAAGCGCAGCGCCGGAAAAAACAGTGTCCCGCTTTGCGTTATTATTTGGCTCAAAATTCAGCTAATGGGTCGTAAAAGGGAACCGGGGCTCTGGTGGTGGCCGGGGTCGGGCTGGGGTCGGGCTGGGGCCGGCGGGTTGCACGTGGCCGACGTACCCCCTCTCCCCATTAGCGGGCGGCGCGGGGGCGCGGGGGCGTGGCGCGCGCGCAAAAAAATAATCTCACTTCATTTCTGCTGTGAAGCGGAAGAAGGGGCTAACTTGACTTAGCACCAAACTGAGATTTTGATGGCATTTTAAACTAGATTATAATCCGCATCTGTCCACCAAACAGTTTGGTGCTAAGTACCATAGATTGGTGTATATAGGGGTTTGTAAAAGGGGCTAACTCGACTTGACTTGTTTTGTACGATAGTTGTCACGTACCAGAAGGCCACCAAAGGTGTTAAGTTGACTTGACCCCAAAGTCATCAGATTTTCTCATGAAGCAAAAGGAGTTAAGTTGACATAGCTCCTTTTGCTATCATATTTTGATGGTGACATGTTGACTTAGCCCCTTTTGCACTGATTAAAAACACAGAAAATAATGCAAATAAAAGCATTATTCTTACTGTCAGGTGTCC